CGACTTTGGAGAGCAAAAACCTGTTCGAAGAGCGGCTAAGATATTTATATATATATATTTCCTACACATTCAATATTTATTTGACACTTTTCTTCGCTGTGCAATTCTTCTTGGTTAAGGCTACTACTGGCAGTCGCCGCCTTAGTTCATTTCATTCCAGCGCAGTCGCTGTTTGGTGGCGAGCTTGTGCTGAGGTGTGTCGCGCTTCAAGGCAGAGAGCAACATGAACAGTATCGGTGTTCAACCTGTCAACTGGTCCAACTGGCTTCTACGACTTAGTGGTTCTTTTCAAGGTGGTCAGAGCGTTCCATGTCGTTGCTTTTGGCGAATGGGTTTGTTGAGGAATGGGTCGCGAGCAGGAAGCACTGGAAGCATTGATGTCGGCAGCTGCCTCAAGTAGTTCACCACTTCGGAGGACTTCATTCGAGTAAGCCTCACTCCTCTGAGGCATTGGAATATGAGCCTCAGAACGGATTCTACCAGCAGGAACGGGCTTTTGGGTTGGGAGCAGCGCCTTTTTCCTTAGTGCTTGGTACATTTTGCAGAGGGGCCGGTTTCTTTGCCAGTTGCTCACGGCCCTCTTCGAAGACATTTCGGAGAACACGGGACGTGAAGGACTGTTGCTTGGGTGGAACAAACGCCCAATGCTTCAGGTTTGTGTTCGGCCTGTTTCAGGTAGCCAGAAAGGAAGCCGCCAAGACTCTGTTTGGAGCCTCAGCTCATTGAACGCGGGAACCGGCCGGGATAGGGTGGTGCAACAGGGCTGAGGCGCTGTATAATTACTGTGTGTTTCCTTTGCTTCCTTGCTCAAGCACCGCTTGTTTTAATCGAGTTTTCACCTGCCCTCAGCCAACCAGTTTTCGGGCACTTATCCCTCTCATGCCTTGCCTCAGAGCTTCGGAGAAAGCGGAGGAGAAAGATGTTGAAGAGCAAGTCGAAGAGAAGGAGTCAAAGGTAGCGGGGTGAAAAAGCGTTGATGAGCTTGACTGTGCACCATCACACCAATTCCGTAAATACAGAATACAGAAAAGATATGTACAATATATACTGTATATATATATATATGTAGCCTTATTGTTTGGATGTAGGGTATGTACATACTATACACGTACCCCGACTTTTGGCTCAAGGGAAATAAGCGCGAGCTGCCGGGTTTGAGCGTCCATATACATTTTCATGGTAGCGGAGCTCTTGGTTACGTTGGCCGCGCTTTTGATCCACTTGGTTGGCCTTTACCTGCCCGAGATTGTCGCCTCCATCGGTGTGCTGTTCGCCGCTTCGGTGGGCGCACGCTGGAGGTGGAATCAGAGGGCACTCCAGCAGCGACGAGTTGATCGCTGGCGGCGCCTGGTGCGCAAGATCTTCAGGATCCGCTCCCTCCGACGAGTTTGGGGGCATTTGGGCCACTTCCTGAACGACCGGAAGCGATGGCCACGGTTGGAGGGATGAGTGCACAAGAGCTGATCGACGTGGTACGACAGCTGAGGCAGGAGGTCACCCAGGGACAGCAGCGCGAAGCACGACTACAAGGGCAAGTTGAGATGCTAGTTCACGCTCAGCAAGCACAAGGAAGCGATCCAGGAGGACACTTCGAAGGTATGAGGCAAGCGTTCACGGCCTTGGCGCAGTCGCAGCAGGACCTCATTGAAAACATCAAGGTGCCGAAGGACGCCAAGAAGACTATGAGCTTGGTCGACAATCGTGGACTAGCGAACCCGGACAAGTTCGACGGAAAGGAGGAAGGATTTTTGTACTGGCGCACTCGACTGGAGGCCTTTGTGACCTCGATCCATCCGGATCTGGAGGACATCATGCTGTGGGCTGAGGAGATGGACCATGAGATCATGTCGGCTGACATCAAAGCCGCTTGGGGCCCGTTGAACCCCAGTGAACGCGAAGTCGTGGACGTCGACAGCATGAACTCGCAGCTGTTTGCGGTGCTGCAGACGTTATGTGAACGTGAAGCTTTTCAGATAGTACGGAGCTCTGGAAAGCACAATGGTCTGGAGTCGTGGCGACGCCTGGTACGAAGATTTGACCCGGCTACCGGGAACCGAAGACGAGCAATGTTGAGAGCCATTCTCAACCCAAGCAAGGCGAGCAAGCTCGAAGACCTGTCGAACTCCATCGAATCTTGGGAGGAAATGGTAAGGCAGTACGAGCACAAGAAGAGACCGGACGGAACACGGCATCAGCTCGACGAGGAGATCCGCATGTCGGTGCTGGAACACTTGTGCCCCGGCGAATTGGAAAAGCATTTGCAGCTGAATCGCTCAAGATTCACATCGTACCTGGACGTGCGCAATGAGATCGTGCTATACATCGAGGCAAGGCTCGGGGCCAAGTTTCGAATGACCGATGCAAGCCAACCTCCCGGAGGGCAAGATCCACAACCCATGGACGTTGGAGCCTTTGAGAAGAAAGGCAAAGGGAAGAACAAGAAAGGCAAAGGCAAAGGAAAAGACGGCAAGACGAAGAAGGGCGACTCGAAGGGCATCGGAAAGTGGCAGAGCAGCGGAAAAGGACAAGGATCCCAGGCCAAAGGCTCAGGTTCGCAAAGTTCGAAGACTTGCCACAACTGTGGCAAGACGGGGCATTTTGCTCGAGATTGCTGGAGCGCCGGCGGCGGTGCAGCGAATGCGAACCAGAAGCCAAAAGGTGGGAAGTCTAATCCTAAGTCGAAGGGCAAAGGTGGCAAGCACATGTCCAACCTGGAAGAGTCCCCCGCAGAGCCACATGCAGAGCCGATGGATACAGGATGTTTCAGCCTCGCGGGACTCGAAGTGGAGATCGAGATCGACCCGGAGATCAAGCAAGAGCTGGAGGATGCAGATCGATGCATGAACCCCTGCGACTATTGCTTCTGCCAGAATTGCGGACTGGACGAAGGAGGACATGTTGAACACATCTGCAACTTGTGCGGCATGGATTGGGAAAGGTTCCTGGAGAACGAGGACCTGAAGTCCATTCGAGCTGCACTCAAAATGACGAAGCCGGACGACTTCGAGTATATCGTGGACAAAACGATTTGTCTCATGAGGGGAATCTCATTGAAGACCTTCCAGGCCTACAAGGACGATGTGAAGGAGAAGTTGCGGAAGAAGGTCGGCCCTGATGAGAGCTTGCGGAAGATGAACAAGGAGACATTGCAGCAAGTCGAAAAGCACAGGCAGGAACTTCGCTTGCTGTACTTCGAGAAGTTGACAGACGCGATCGTTGGGGAGAGTCGGACCTCTGGTCCAGGCCAGCCCCCGGGATCCAAGGACGGCGGGACGAGTCAGACCGTTGGTCGGGCCGGTCCTGCATCCGGATCCAATGAGCAAGCTTCGAGCTCAGCAGGTCGTGTGGAGACGGAGGTGAAGCCCAGAGTGATGGAAGAGATGAGTCGAGCCTTTGGTTCGGCCGAGTTCCCATCAAGACCCGCAGGGTCATCCTCCGGGACAGTTCTGCACCGAACCATCGAACAGATGGAAGTGGCGAACATCGACGCTGCGATTCGCGAGAAGATGGCAGCGTGCGAGGAATGCGAGACGAAAGAAGAGGTTCAAAAGTTGGAAACCGAGGTCATGGTGTTGAAGGCCAAGAAGGACAAGTTGAAAGAGAAGATTCACCGAGATGACCAGGTCACCAAAGCGAAAGCCAAGGCAGCGCCTAAGCTCACCGCGGAGAACCTGAACGACCAAAGTTGGCACGATTCGCGGTATTACCAAGCTGTTAAGGCCGGTGCAAGCCATTCGTTGGCGTGGAGTCAAGAACGCAAGAGGAGGAAGGCGACTCTACATCGCCAACAAGGAGTTGCCGACCGCGTGCAGCCGAAAGAATCAGGATGGACAAGGAATGGCATGAAGAGTTCGACTCAAAGCCTGTGAAGGAGGAGGAATTCGACAAGGAAGAAGACAACACGATCGAGACCGAAGCCGTGCAAGAGATGGACGACGGGATGGTGCGTGTTTTCACGGGCCAAGCAAAACGCGTGGCTCGAGGAAAGCTCAAGAAGCACCAGTTCTCCCGATTCTTCAAGTCTGCACGGACGTACCGGAAGCTCAGTCAGGAAGAAGTAGCCAAGTTCGCCGTGGAGACCAAAGACGACGAACTGCGAGTGATGGGCCGGAAGAGGACAGATGTTCTTCGCCGACGAGATCGACCCATGAGCAAGGAGAAGAAGGAATCCAGGAAGAAGCGTGTTCGAAAGGCAAGGGCACGCAAGCGCAAGGAAGAGGAGGAGAAGTTCTACCTGAAGCACCCGCACGACAAGATGCGATGCTTCGATTTCCGGAGGTCACACTGTGGCAAAGGAGTGAAGTGCAAGATGGCCCACTCCGAGATCGATCGCGAGCGCTACTTCCTGCAGAGCCGCCATGACGAGGTGCAGAAGGACCTGGATAACGTCAAGCTGACCCGTGGAGAGATCAATTCGTTCGCCGTGAACGAGCTGTCGGTCGACGAAAGCGGTTGGGTCAAGGTAACCGCAAACTTGGATACAGGTGCAGCCGTCACTGCGATCCCAACAGAGTTGAAGAGCCTGTTGGGGATGGAATCTGGAGATCCCAACGACGCCAGCTACAAGACCGCTTCGGGCGAGCTCATCATGGACGAAGGCGGTGGAACGATCCGTGGCCTCACTGAAGAAGGCTATGGAAGGAAAGTGGACGGTCGATTTGTGAACGTCCACAGGTTGCTCGTCTCAGGAAGCAAGGTGACAGCCCGCAACTTGGTTGTCATGGACGGAGAGCAAGGCGACATCGTTCCAAAGGATGGACCCATCGCACGAGGACTTCGAAGGGCGCTGAGGAGTTTGAAGCGCAAGTTCCCGAAGGACAACCGGAACGCCACGAAGCTGTACGTGCACAAGGGCATCTTCTGCTTCGACCTGTGGTGCAAGGCAGAGCGAAAGACCGAAGGACGTGAGACCATGGAGGAGCTCGCCGCAGTGGAGGCGGGTTTCCAGCGGCAGGTGAAACCGTAAGTCCGAAGACTCCGAGGGGGGGAGTCGGTCCTTTGGACCGGCCGGACCCGCAGGAGCACCCTGAGGGGCGAATCGATCCGATGGATCGGTCGGCCCCCATGGAAGAAGAAACCGTGGAAGAAGAGGCGAGGGCTCCAAAAGTGTTGAGGAGTCCGACATCTCCCACTGCAGAGGAGATCGAGGAGCATGAGGCGATTGGACACGCGATCCATCGCACATGGTGCGGACATTGCATCCGCGCCAGAGGGCTGCGCGAGCAGCACAAGGCGACCCCAAGTCGAGACGACAGAGGATTGCCTACAGTGTCCC